TGGTGCTGCTGGTGCTGTTGGTGCTGGTGCTGCTGTTGCTGGTGCTGCTGGTGCTGCTGGTGCTGGTGCTGATGGTGCTGCTGCTGCTGCTGCTGCTGGTGCTGCTGCTGCTGCTGCTGCTGGTGCTGCTGGCGGTGGTGGTGGTGGTGGTGGTGGTGGTGGTGGTGGCGGCTCCTACTAGCAGCACCACCATCATGACGACGACACGACGACCACGACGACGACGACAACTAATACTATTTCTGCTGCCACTGCGGCAAATTGAACACATCTCGTAGTAGCGCTTGCCTTTGGTGGGAAACCTTTGTGGCGGTGTCCCTTGTAATCGGGAGATTTCAGCATGATGAACCCCAGAGGTCGGCGGGACGCAAGAGAAGACCGGGCCGGTGTTGCCTTTGCAGAAGCGCGAATCCGTCGCTTGGTGCGCTGCTAGGCCGGCAAAATGGCATAAGAGGCTTTGTTGTAGGTGTCGTTGCAAGAGGGGCCCATTATTGCTTGCAATTTGTGAAGGGGCCTGCATACATTCCGAAACTGCCAGATGTGTGTTTCGGGCTAAGGGGGTTTATTCGATCGGACCGGGGAATGATTGTCAATGACTGGATGGTTTCTATGTTTGGTTCGAACTTTTTGTTCAAAGGGTCCTGGAAGGTGCAGATTATTCAAAGTGTGTGTGTGTGTGTGTTGTGTGTGTGTGTGCATGTGTTGTCTGAGGGCGGCATCGTACGAGCTTTATGTTGGGCTTGGTGTCCGGTGTCTAGCATTCGAAAGTTGCGGCTCCATAGACGGAATCGAGATTCAACTCGATGGTGGGTTCAGACCATCCAGCATATAACAAACCAAAATAGTACGGAGTGTGCTCGTTCTGTTAGAGTTTAGAGGTATGGGTTCTTCTGCAGGAGGCTTCGCGTTAGAGAGAGCCCTCGATCGAAACCTTTGGAGGAATTTCCACGTGCGGGTTCGACCTGGGTAACAGACTCGCTGATGACAGCAGTCAAAAACATCAGCAATGATGACATTATGTCTATGATTGTAATCGGGATTCTGAGGGTTTGTGGACCTTACAACCTCGGGGTTCGGAGATGTTGACGGATCTGGGCACGTCTGGACCGAGGATATCAAAGACGAGGAGAGCAGGGCTGTTCATGTCTTGGTCTTCAGAGGTGTTAGGGTCTTGGGACCTACAGTAGAAGCCCAAAAGTTGGAAACCCAATAGCCCCAATCCTTAAGAGTAATGTATAAGGAATCCCAGCACTATTTGTCCTTAATCCGGTTTCCAACTTTTTGGGGCTTACTATACTCATGTCATGTTGGGCACGAGCTTCTACTCATGATTCCTAGTCGGAGCTCACAAGTCCGAACAGCCAAGCTCCAACCCGCGGCTTGAGGCATCAACATGCTAGAGCCCCGAACCCCGATGATTCATCGAAACCCTCGGACCTACAGCTCCAGACGTGTCTCTTATGGTTGCATGCAGTAGTGCCGGGAGCCTACAATATGAACTTGGCATATGAACTTGGCTTATGTTTACACTTACTGGCCACAGACAGGTTTTCCGGATAAATCGCCATGTAAGACAAGGAGGGTATCAGCACGGGTGGGACGCCAAAGAGGTCCACCTAAAAGCTGGACCAACACCTTCGTCAGACTTTGAACCTTCTTCAGGTGTAGAGTAGATGCCACGAGAAAGAAGTCTTCGTCTTCAATGTTCTCCCTGTTTTCGCAGGCATGTGATGTGTGGCAGCTGTAGTGGTGAGGATCCCGTAGAGCGCCGACAACTCGGGCCCCTGTCCGAGATTGCCTCACACATGAGACCCACACCAATGCAACCTGCAGGAGGAATTCGAGGACTACAATGATGCAGACGGAAACATTCCCTTCTCTCCGCAAAGCTGGCTTGCTTGCATCCACATGCTGTTCCTTTGTTTGGCATGATCCAGTTTTTCGGGCGGGTAGGATCCGATAAGGAGCGAGCGATATTGGTGCACAGTTTTTGTTTCGCACCTGAGAGTTTAAGTCGACTTGACCGTGGGGACCCGGCACTCGCATGGAAAAGATGGCCCCCGACAGCCCGGCATGAGAGGATCAGGGGCCGAATCAAGAATGCAGTAATTGCTCTCTACTAGGTAAGGAAATACCGCGTGTCTACCACAACACGAATGAAGACGACATTCGATGTGTAAAGCTCGAGAGTATATTCTGTGTATTTATTAACAGAAACTCAGATGTGGAACATAAATATGCATATGCATGCATAGAAGATATGCAACTATGGGTACAGATATGGATACTGACATAGATTATAGCTAGATAACGTGAGAAACATACAGCATCATGTAGAGCGGGCTCTGAAGCCACTGTCCGCCAAAGGCATCAGGCATCGGAAGCCGATCTGGGGCAAGGGTCAGTACCGAAATTAAGAAAATGCATTCAGGATTGCTGTTCGTTTGACATACCATGTGGCTACGCGCCAGTTCGGTGAAAAGCACAGCGACGACTCCCAGCCGCAGTGGCCGCCGCGCCGAGCGCCGCGCACGGCGTCGGCGTGAGGCGCAGAAGGCGCATCGCGGTCATCGCTCGAGTTTGACAGCATGACATGCAAATGGGTACTGTAGCACACATAGCAAGACATGAAGCCTGGATGCGTTTTGGTGGTATCCTGGCTTGTAAGTCCGTTTCAAAGTGCTCTGCGAGGCATCAATGATTGGAAGGGCGAGAGATCTGGCTTTAATTTGCTCCACGAGCATGCTGTATTATCTTGCTGCATCAGGAAAGGTGAGAGAAGAAGTTAGCCTCATGCAAGCCAAGAGCATGTACGTACCGGAATCGGCTTCTTTGCTACTGCTGGTGCTGCTGCCGTTGCTTGTTTCTGCTGCTAGTCACGGCGAGGGTGGTGTTTGCGCGTGGTGGCAGTGCCGTTTGTGGAATTCTTTGTTCGGGTATCATATGAATCATATGCCTTCGGAGAATCGACTGTGTCCCTTCGGCCTCGGCCTCAACTAACCCCGACAGTGAGACGGATACGACAGAGCCTGACTCTCAGGCACAAAACATTCCTGACATTCCCAGCAGAAACCAGACATCCAAGCACAGGACCAGCAGCCGGCTATGAACGAAACCATGAGACAAACAAAAAGTCTGAACCCTGAAATGTCTATGCCCTACCAACTCAGGCTGCGCAGCAGCAAGTGAACTCGAGGGGACCCACTGCCGTCACCTTCGCGGACGGGCAGGGGCTGAGGTCTAAGATTTTGAGCTTATAGCCTTTCAGGGTTTAGCGAGGGTATACCTGCTCCTGCAGTTTCCGAATTAAAACGTTACTAAGGAGAACAAGATCGCGAAGACGCTGCCATGGGGTCACTAGTAGGCTCAGGGCTTGGAGTTTGGACACTGAGGTTAAGGACTTCAGTCTGCATGGGATGCGAAGCTGTGGGTCCATGCCAGAAGACGCCTACTGCATGTCAGCCGATGCAGCACCATGTCGGAACAAGTGTGTGTGTGTATATATATATACAGATATATTTTCTGTATATATATACACATATGTAGGAGCATGCACATGTTATGTGACTGTATGAAGACATGAAAAATATATACAAACATACATGTACAGATATGTTTGCATGTGAGGTATGTCCATATTAGCCAGCCCTTGAATCCTGGCAGGAGCTTGGCGTGGAATGTAGCCAGAGCCCGACGCAGACCTACACAGGTAGCTGTTCGTGCTACACTTTTGGATTTTTGACCACCAAACCTGCCCCACACACTTGGAATGTACTTGTCTGACTTGAGGCCCCTGGAGCCCTCTTATAAGAGTGACGTAATTCCTGTCTTGGGGATGAGGTAAGGCATCCCATGACTTACGGAACCGCCCAGGGATACGTCCTTCGGTTCATGGAAGTCAGCTGCGACATGAGATAGCTCAATTTTGGGCTCTAGGGTTTTAGCACTTCGAGGTATACTGCCTAAGGGCCACGCAACAGGTACTGCTAATCACGGATGCCGAGATCAGGTTGGAAGTAGTTCCGGCCGATGTTTCCAGAGACACAGCCATGTAAGTGCAAGAGTTGGATTTGGCTTTGCACCTGGATTTGCAGCACTCCAACCTCTCCAGCACCCAAGCTTGAAGCCGAAGCCTAAAGAGCCCAACCCCTTCAAGTCCGAATCCCAGCACCCCACCTGACACTTGCAACTCCATAGAAACCCCCGCGAACCCTTTTCAAGCCTAACCTCAGCCAGGCCCCGGCACGGTGCCCTCTCCAGGGGCGGATGGTAATTGGCCAGGCCGGATATGTAGAGCTCAAGAGCTAAAAGCACAGGGAAGGAACGGGAGTGATGACGTGTATATCTTTTTGTCATATGCCGGGATGTAAGTTTGTGTGCATGTCGTTTGTATGAACATAACATACTGTGATCAAATATGCATCTGCACATGCTTCACACACACATGTATGAATGTAATGTAATGTAATGTACATAATGTAATGTAATGTAATGCAATGTAATGTAATGTAAATGTAATGTAATGCAACGTATGATGCAGGGCTGCCACCCCCACCCCCCTCCCCGCCCCATGGTATCCTCCCCCCCTGCCCCCTGCGCACCCTTTGTGAGGCTGTGGTGGTAACCTTCCCCCTTGCATCCCCATCCCGCCCCTGTGGTTTCGCTGTTGTGGTGGGCTCTGCACCCCCCTTAGCTGAGGCTTTGGTTGGAATGAATTGGAATACGTACGCACCACGTGTAAAACAAGGACCAGTTGTCACGACTTGTGACTCAACTACTGTTACACGGAACTTTAAGAGCACTTGTTCTGATCTTCTCCACCACCATTCATGTCTACAATTGCATCTACCATGGCCCAAAAGCATGTATGTATGTATGTATGTTATGTATGTATGTATGCATGTATGTATGTATGTATGTATGTATGTATGTATGTATGTATGTATACACATGCTCATGTTATGTATGCATGCACGCATGCATGCAAGAATCGATTCGTTCGTGCAGGTATCATGAGCACAGCACCCGCGGACCAGCCCAAGCAGGGCCTTTTCCTGCCACCAGGCGCGCTAGCCGCTAGCATCGGGGATTTTCAAGTCACTTCGAAGACCTACTGCAAAGCTCTCTGCGTCATGGCCTCGCCATAGCAGGGCTGGGTTGATCTGAACAGCTGATGGTTAGGGAGCCGCCACGGTTATACAGAAAGAAGCAGGTTTGAGCCGGCAATGAGTGAGTTGGGTTTTGTAGATGAAAGCGCGAGCATACGATACCGACCCCTCGCATGCCCTCCAGCAAAAGCCCTCAAACCCCATCGCTCTACTAACAAGGCACGTACGTCGCAGATGGAATCTCTGCAGCTGACTCGGCAGTCTTTTCAGGAGCCTTGGGGTATCCTGGCTGCCCGTCTCCGACATCAAAGCCTTCCTGCGACGCGTCTGCGAGGCCAGAACCCGAGACGTACACAAGTTTCCCCAGAAACCGAAGCGTAGCATCACACCACATATTTTTATAGACTGAGACAAATGATGAGAATCCGCTCAGGGGTTACCCATACGCCTCGCCTAACGCCGCCGTGGCCTCGCCTGACGTCTCGGCAAAGCGCCTGTTGCTTGCGACTTCGCCAAAGGCCGGCGCAGGGCTAGGGTGGTGTTGTATTGAGATGTACTTTAAGATTGAAGAGCAAAACGATTATGAATTTAAAATTGTAAGAGGCTTCGGGCTTGGATGCTTGATGATTTTGGCTTGGCATTGATCAGGCATGGTGGGAGGGGTTCCCATCCATGCTGCGAAGCCACCAGCATTCTCGGCAGGCACCATTCGGAGGCGATGCATCCTCGCGGACACCATGCCGCTTGACTAGACCAAACGCTGCGAAGCCCCCCTTCTGAGCGCATAAAAGTTTAGACTTGCTGTATCCAGAGATTGTGTTTCCTATCTCAAGGGGAAACGGTTCCTGCATTTGGGCCGGAGAAAGAACCGACCAGGCTGTCCAGTAGCGAAATCTCAGGATGCTTGAGTCTGAGCTAGTACGAGCAATTGGATTGTTGCATGGATGTTCATATGCCCTATGCGCGCACGCGCAGAGGCTCCAACACAGGTTTCTGAAATGCCCAGTCTCGCATTGGTTGTTGCAGCTCGCTCTCCCAGTCTCAAACTATTTCCTCTCTTCCACCCCAGCCTGAACTCGCTGTCGTTTGGGATCCAATCAAGCCACAGCCCCGTCGATGCTGTACTGCTGTACTATGTAATCCACTATGCCACGCGCGCCTGTGGGGACTTCTACGGTTAGATTGCATACAGACGCAGCTCAGGGCAGCATTGCTTTTGTCAGTTCCACCACGCGGAGTTCTGGATTGGAGTAGTTCTCCGAATTAGGGTCCCGTGTTGGGTCCCCAATCCCTAAACCCTAAACCCTAAACCCTAAACCCAAAACCATGTGCGTCGTCGTACCAGAACTCCTCGCCAAGGCATGTCCGAGTGTGAGTGCTGAAACCCAAAACCATGTAGTATGGCACGCTTACAAAAAGGACCCTGAAAGGGCCGCTTCCAGGTCGCTCGCCGCCGAGCTGGACAGCAGATGTTCCGTCTCCGTGCAGGCAGAGATCTCTGAATATTTTCGGTTCAGGGTTTGGGGTTTAGGTGGTGAGGGTTCTGCATCTGGAGTGTTTCGGTTCAGGATCCGGGCTCTGAGTTTCGGATACTTTGAGCTAGTTACTGGTATGGATTGACCTGCTGCTGGATGGTCTGCTCGCTTGCATCTCCTCTTTCTCACTAACTCTAGGCTTGGCTTCTTGATTCTTTATTTGACTGCAATGCCCTGATGCTCGTATGCGGCTTCGAAAGTTCACCAACCCTCACGGACAGATCCGAAGCCGGTCTCTGTTCTAGGAAGCTCTCAGTACACGCTCCGAGACTTAAGATTCTCAATGGTGGTGCAGTGTTCTGGTCTTACCGACGAAGCCTTGAGACATGTACTTGACATCATGAGAACCCCTGACATGATGCTTGTTGCTGTAGACATGGATATCTATATGAGGAGGGTCTAACCGCAGAGAGGCGAAGGTACTCGTACCGAAGAAACGGGTGTTCCGTCTCTTACGGTGCGCAGGGCTGTTGATCTGATTTTCGAGGGCTGGAATGTCCCCATCGAGGTGCTAAAGCCGGATCGAACCTCTCAGCCTGGCGGTCACGGCCCCTGACAACGGCTTCCGTTTCTGTGCTGGCCGCTCAGGTTTAGGCTCGGCGATGTGTCGGCTCCAAAAAACTGGTGGCCGATCGCCCTGTCTCTTCCCACACAAAGAAACGGGAGAACAAGTGAAGGAGTAACCTTGACCCACGAAAATCATGGACTGCTTGTGCAGGTCCCGTATGAGCATGCGCAGTGCCTCGGCCAGCAGGGGCAGCGAATGTGCTGCTAAAGACTGCGGATTCTGTAGAAAAGGAGTGAGTAGACTGAAGGTTTAAAATGCAGCAAGGTTTGTGCAGACAGGTTTCTGGTGCAGGTTTACAGGCTAGGCACTATAGTGTTGCACCAAGCTGAAGTAGCTCCGTTTGCGGGTTTCTTCGGCCACAAGAACTCTTCGTTTCTGCTCTTGATTCTTGACGTCCCTTGATGGTCAACTTTCGACAAGGAGTGGGTGCCTTAGCTGAGGAGTTCGGGCTCTTCCATCAGTAGTCGTGGTCGTAGTAGCAGCAACAGCAGCAGCAGGACCAGGACCAGGGCCAGGGCCAGGGCCAGGGCCAGGGACCAGGAACAGGAGTTAGTAGTAGTGGTGGTGGTAGTAGTAGTAGTAGTAGCAGCAGCAGCAGCAGCAACTCCGCCTCTTCCTCCTACTACTACTTCGCAGACCCCCAGACGAGAAGCATAAAGCTTGTACCCTATTAAAGACCACAGTCCTGAACACCCAGGTTTCGTCAACGCCCAATCTCCCAGCAGTGGAGGAGGTCGGCAAATTTTCACATTGAGTACATGGTCCAGGTGGTGTTTAGTGTTCAGGGGGTTGGTGATTAGTGTTTAGGGAGTGTAGGTTTCGGGATATCTACGACTAGATACGGATGGGAGGTGCGGGGTACAGGGCTGACAACGTAGAACTGTAGAACTTTCGTTTCGGTCAAGCCAAAAAAATCCAGGGTGTGGCATCCTTTGTCCTGTGATCTTGGGCTTAGGTTGTATAGGGTTCAGGACTTGACGCCGGCTTTCCCAGCCAATTGAAGCCTGCTGCAAAAGGGTTTATGGTTGAAGGGTAGGGTCTAGAGGGCTTGGTCTGGGGTGAGGAATTCGGGTTTGGCGGCGTAGGTCAGGTTAATCAGGAGGTCGCAAGTACATCTCGAAGACCTAGAGATAACCCTAAACCCTAAAAGCCCCAACTCACAGATTGACCTAGCGTCAGCATGTCATCATGGCCGTTATGCTTGCGGGCACCCCAACCCATTCCTATGGGTCCAGTCAACCCTAAACCTAATGGTCATATCCCTTTATAGTCCCTGTACTAAATGTACGATATCAACTGTAGCCTAAGCATCTTCTAGATAGAGAAGGCCTTTGCACCATCCTCTCGTCCCCCTGGAGGCCTGGTGACCTCACCCTCGGTGAACCCGGGACGGCGAGGTGGCAATAAAGAGCCATGCCTGAGCCCGGCGAGTCCGGAGGTAGGGCTGGGTTTGGGGCGGGGGGGGGGGGGGGGGTTTAGGGTTTAGGGTGTTTAGGGTTTGGAGGGTTTTCAGGGCTTGCTGCCTACGGCAAGTGTGGAAGTTTCCAGGAAAGGGTAATCCAATGTCGGTCAGCACTTGTTGCAGTCGCAGTCCTCAGAGTTGTCCAGCGGCACGCCTGTCATTTANNTGCTGGTGCTGCTAACTCACATGCTGCTTTCTGTTTTCGTTTTGTGATGTTCAGAGGCTGTTTTGATCTGTTTTGTTGGTGGGTGGCTGGTGGCAGGGAGAGAGATTCAGATTCTCGTGGCAGAGGCCAGCCAGTGGTTGTGGTGCTGGATCCATTGCTTTCCGAGGAGGGTGTGTTGGTGATGTTTGTTTCTGTAGTGGTGTTTAGTCACGTATCTCTGTCACACTCATACGTTTATTGCTTTCTGGCTGCTGCTATTGCTGCGGCTGTTGTTGTTGCAGTGTATCCTGCTTTTACTCGCAGCTGCTGCCTTGCTGCTCTGGCCTGCCCTGCCCCGCCCTGGCCTGTCCCGCCCTGCTTTGCTATTTTGCCTTGCCCGCCCCCTGCCGTTCTTGCCCTGCCCTGGCCTGGGCCGCCCTGCCCTCTGCCCTGTGAACGGTAGTGCTTGTTGTAATGTTTCCAGGGGGTGCAATTCCAACTAGCAGGGTCTCTGCTTTCTGTTGTTTTGTGTGGTCGTATCCTTTATTTGTTAGAGCTCGAGGTTCGGATGTGATTCTATTCACCCCTGCTACCCGAATAAGATCAGGGCATCCCGGAGTTTTCAGCGGCATATCTGCAGTGTTCCATTGGCCTCTCATATCGCAGTTGTGGCATTCGCGCAGCACGTTTCAGCACCTCGCTGATGTGTTTGTGTCGCGGTAAAGGCTAGACGGCTAGACCACCAGACTCTAAAGCCTAGACCTGTGCTTGTGCTGTGGCCTCGCCAATGTGCGTTCGTCGTACCAGGAACCTCGCCCAGGCATCTCCGGAGTGTGCGTGCTGAAACCTGTGCTTGCTGCAGGTGACCACCCTGCGCCAGCTTTTGGGATCACAAGCCGATGCTCGTTCTCAACTTAGGGTGTGTGTTTACGGTTCGTAGTTCAGGACTTTGGGCATTGATGTCGACGGAGAAAACCAATTGACGCAGTTGGTACTCCAGGCAATGCTACTGGGGGCGGGCGCGTTTGTTGGTACCTTTGGGCATAAGACCCTTATGCTTCAGGTTTGGCTAAGGGCTCAGCTCCGCGGGTCTTACATGTTCCACCCCAGCAGCTTCTGACGCAGCTCCGTCTCATCTTGTTCTAGTTCTCTGCCGAATGTTGAGAACGTGCTCCAGGCGGCTAATCGGCTGTCCCAAGCCGAGACGATTTCTGGGCGGTGATGTGTAGTGGGCCATCCGTCATGTTCCCGGAAGCGAAGGAGGTCACAAGCATGGCCGGGAAATGCACAAAACGCATGCTGACCGGTACGCTCGTGGTTATGTCGTGCAGACTATATTTTTGCACAGGTTCTTAATCCCACCAAGCTATATCTGGAAAACATGCTCTCCGGCGAGTACCGAAACAGTAAGCCATTAATTGCAACCTTTGAACAGCCAGCCTCCGAGACTTCTTGCCCCGTGTCCGTCGTGTGTGAGCTTCCAGGTCTGAACCGCAAGCACGAAGGTTTCAAGAATACTAGGCCTGTGCCCCTGATTTCCAGAGTTCGGGCGTTTGCACCGTCTTCCCGGTGTCTGAGTCTGGTGGGCTAGAGAAGTGCAAGGAGGCTTGAGGCTTGAAGCTTGTTGGGCTTGAGCTCTTAACAAACTGATGGCCCCAATCTGATCCCTCCATGATCTGCATCCAAGGAGCTGGAGGGAACACGAGAAGAACTGGCTGACACTTTGACTGCAGATTCAGGGTGTTGACATAGTGGCTGTAAATTTGGGTCATTTCCGGGTCCTTTTATAAGGGTGCCACACTATGTTAACGGGACCCTGATTCAGAGAACCACCCACGTAGAGAGTAACAGTAACCATTCTCTGGTAGCGTCATGAAGTAGCCATGGCAGCAACGGGAATGATGTCAGGCTCGTCTGCAGGCGGCGGCTCCAGAGAGCTATGAAGACTGAGGCCTTGCTGTCACAAGTCTAGAACTCGTGTGGTCTATATCATTCATTTACATTCGTTCATGTTCATCATGACTGCTATTGGTGTCGGTATCTAGCTTTGTGTGAATCGGGACCACTCGGCCACGTTGTCGGTTGCCAGGATTCAGAGCGCGTGCACAGCATTGCCGAGGAACCCGGTGATGATGGCGATGATGAGGAGGAGGACGATGAGGTTGGGTGCGAGTTAGATGGCGATGATATGAGGAGGAGTAGGACAGTGAGGTTGGGTGTTAGTCAGCGGTGAGATGAGCAGGAGGAGGAGAAGGACGTTGGGCATGAGGATTTGGATGACCACGATGGTGTTGCTACCGCTGTTGCTGGCTCTGGTGTTGATGAAGTTGACGAGCCGACTGTGACCAGCGTATGACCAGAGACATGCCTCCGGACTGTACTGGCTTTTGCAAACACAAATGCACGGGCCACAAGCTCAAACCCAACCGCATGTCCTGCCGCTTCGCACCTCTCTTCTCAAACTTGTGGGGAAACCCCTCCAGATTGCGCCATGCTTGTTCTGCTGTGGAGGCTGAACTTGGCGGCCTGAGTCGAACACCCCTGCGTTGCACAGATGTCGATGCCTTTAGAGGGAAACTAGGTTGGGTCGTGTACTTACACAAAACTTTCAGTATAGACTCAGTGTAGACTGTAGATGATCACAGCATCCTGTTATGACATAAGTGCCGTTGCCCTTTCGATGTAATTAGTGTGATCGGTCGAGACCTGAACCCTGTTGTGTTGATGACCCTTGTCTCTGCGAAGCTTCAAGACGATGAAACTCCGATCAAAGTATCCCAAGCCTCAATCTACCGTATACTCGGGAATCTGCTGCAACCGGTGGGTCTGACAGTTGAACCTAGCAGTAGTCGCCCTCTTCTGGCTTTCTGCGGCGCGCGCATCCATTCTAGGCTCAGAAGGGGCCGAGGCGCAAAGCGCTCCACATCAATTCAGCTGGCGGACAAGCCTTGCATCGTGGATTTCCGGCAGTTTCAGTGGAGTTCGTGTTTGCATGTGTTTGCATTGCAGGAGGCAATTGACTCAAAGTGTGCTGTGCTCCGTCAGCTTGCATATCAAACGGTGCAAGAGGTTACTGCACACTGCACGCCGCCCATTTGGCAAAGAGGCGGCAGCTGCTTTGTTTTGGCGACACGCAATCGAATCCCGGAGGCATGCTAATCACCCGAAAGAGCCTTCAATCTGCTGGCAAATTCGGTGGTTCTATTCTATATATATTATGTATATATATATATATACACACTAATCGTATTTGTGGGGACCAGTTGGTGTCTCGGAGAACTGGAAAGCCAGTACACGCCTGAGATTTTAGCACAACCTGGACTCGGGCTAAACTCTAAGCTACAAGCCTGATACTGTAAGTATCGTAGAATGCCTTCATCTCTATATATCTAGCTATCAGAAGTGTAAGATTACATGACTTTCACCTAAAGTCTCGTTGGTTATCTTTGTAATGTACAAGGGTATCAACATTAACATGTATATGTCATGTATACTGCACGCGCACACACACACACACACGTACTCGCATAAATACAATGTACAGGACTGTTGTTTGTCAGTCTTTTCTCGTAGATGGATGCATACTTGAACATGTGCAGTTGATGACTCCGGCCTTCCATAGGTTCACCACCCTAAACCCCGAAACCCCTAATCCCTAAACCCCCGCCTAGGCAAGTCCGAGTGTGAGTGCTGAAACCCTAAACCCCCCTATCAAGCCTGTATTTGCTTTCTGAGGAACTTGTAAAATACAACCCGGCCGCAGGCGTGGAGTAGTCTTCCAGCCCCCAAGACTTCCAGCCCAAAGCCGGAAGCTCAAAATGTCAAAGCCTGAACCCAACATTGCAAATTGGAATTTCCTGCTAGCTGGGGATTTGAAGCCTCCGATATCGTTGCGGCCTTGTTTGGCCTTCTCCGGGCCTCGTCGGTTTAGAACTTTAGTCGGGTTAGTGTCAACATAAGTCATCAATGGGACATATCTCATGCGATAAGAGATGACTGAATATTGCCGGCAATGGCACGGAGAGCCGTCATGTTGAGCTATCCTGCTCTGGAGGACCTGTTACATAGACATGGGACGAGGGAATCCACTAGGTACTGTGAGCTTATTATTGTGAGATGCACTTCCTCCCGCCTCGGGGTCCTCCCCGAGCTTTTTCAAGTCACGTAGGGCTTTTGCACCAAGCAGAAGTCTTCACTCCGAACCAGACAAAGCTGGTCACTAATGACATACTCCTAGCCTTCCACCTGTGCCCGGTTCTACGGTTTGGGTGCAGGGGGAGGCTAGGGAGCACAGCCAAAGCAGCAGCTTGAATTCGACTTGGACTTGCTAGACAGGTTTGGCTCTTGGTTGAATCAGCTACCGGACGGTTCCGAAGACAGATTTGGAGCTTCTTACAATCGCACTCCTCTTTTTGGGCATCAACGAAGAAGAAGCATGTCGCATGGTCAAAACAGAGTTGCCTGCGCAACTCGTGTAGGCAAAGTATGTGCACGGATCACGGGTTGAAGCCCGTCAGTCGGTCGTACAAGAACGTGTCCTCTTCCTCCGCGTACGATGACGAGTCCAGGTTGCAACTATGCGTCGAATCGGCAGACATAGTCATTCCTTTCACTAGACATTCAATTGCAGTCCTAGCCACATGGCATGGTATTTCCGCCCGAAGTTGTCAACCAAACGTTGTGGCAGCCGATGTTTTCGTTGCCCAACAGAGCTGAGACACCTGAAGCTGGACGTGTTTCTGCTTTTTGAAGGGCCAGCAGGCAGCGGATCAGTATGTTGACTTCTCTTGAAAGCTCCGAGAGGGCTTTTGCACACATGCTAGCGGAGCGGTTGCCGAAACTTCAGAAGTTGAGGCGACGGAGCCTCACATTGCTGCATGCAGTCCTTGACTTGAAAGGCCTACACTAGGTGAACTTGTAGGTCTTCGGCTTCCCCGTCCCGGTTGCTTGCTTTCTGTGACTTTGAGCCTTAGTTACACTTTAGACTTCAGCGTCACATATGCCACCAACCGGGACCTATACATCTACTTTCTTTCTGCTGATGTACCCAGGACGGCTCCTTTCGTGGTGTTGCCCATGCAAGTCCTTCTCCTGTGGCTAAATTCACAAATCGCTTGTCTTCGGGGCGTTCTCGGCACATTTGCCTTTTCACTTTTCACTTGCCTGAGGATGTAAGAACACCTACCAGGTCCGCAAACACATGCTGCGTGGCGAACGAAAGACGCGCCTGAAAAGATATCCTGGTGCTCGGCACGGTCACATGGTACATGCAGCTTGTGAAATGCATTGCTGGATAGGCTATGTGCTTGTTCCCATAATGAGCTTTGCCGGAGACGAAGGGAGAGGGCTATGTCTGAGACAGAGCAAGAGCATGTTTGAGGCTTATACACAAGCGGCAGGGTGACGGCGTGAGGTGCACTAGCAGATAATAATGACAGACACCCCTTTGGGACATAGCTGTCCCGATATGCATCTTTAGAACCTGGCGCCATGACATCCTGAACACTCAGGCAACCATCATATTGTGACCGTGTTGGTTCGCCGGCAAGTATACATGTGAAGTATAAACTGGCACCCTTGGTCGAAGCACCCCGAGCTACACGTGTGCTTCAATAAATTTACATTTTCTAGACATGCGTGACCGAAGCTTCGCAGGACATGTGACGACAGATGCGGCGGGATACTCCTTTGCTGGAGATTGGGACAGGAAGTCTGCGAGTTCCGGGCTGGGGTTTTAGATAACTTTTCTTCGCTCGAGGCCAAGGAACTGCCTCTTCACGAGCCCTGAGTCTTGCAGTGTATATGTCTTGGCTGCATTGATCTGTAGATGTGTTGTGTGAGTATGTCTTCGGCTTGTTAGTGCACATACGTCTGTGTGATTGTGTGTGTGTGTGAGTGTGTGAGTGTGTGTGATTGAGTGTGCGTGTGTGTGCGTGTCTTTGTGTGTGTGTGTGCGCGTCTTTGTGTGTGTGTGCGCGTCTGTGTGTGTGTGTGTCGGGGGGGTCGGTGGGTGGGTGAGTGGGTGCGTGGGTGGCAAATGTGCGGCAGTTTGCTGTTAGTTGTTAGTGATTGCTTGTTTGTCGTCTTCAGTGTCGTCAGCTTTCGGTATTGTTGGCGTTGTTGTCGCCTCGGTGATTTTGATCGTGGGTTCATGGTTGTTCCCGTTGTTTCTGGGCGTGTCTGTTTGTGTCGATGGTCATATGATATGGTGGTGAAATTGGCAGCGACGCCGGCGATGGTGTTGACTCTGATCGTAGATGCTTACGGAGTCGTGGAGCCGGGTGGTCTTAGTGGCGGTGTTTGTGTGCGCTGGCTTGTCCACTTTTGTTGCTGCTGCGCTTGGTTGATCTTGATTTCCGGTCATTGGTGGTGGTGATGGCAGTGACGGTGACGGTCGTGTGGTGGCGGTGGTGCCGCTGTTCGGCCGATGTGCACAGGTTCTTGCACCTTTTCAGCCTCGATGTCTTGTTACAGGAACACCTCGCAGGGTCGAGTTTTTCAAGACTGTATAGCTAGTCGGACCCTTCACTATTCGTGTCTTGGCGAAGCCGGCGAATCCTGCAGCTGTTCTGGATAGTGTAGCGAGAGCCACGAAGCCAGTGGCCACAGTCCGGAGTCGATTCTGCCCGGCTGCTCAGAGTTAAACATGGGGTGACTGCTGTAAGACAGACGTTGCTGTTACAACATCTCCTTATAACGTGGTTTAATATTTGCATACAGGATGGCGCAGTGAATCGGGGGGGTGAAAGATGCGAAAGTCCATACTTGAGAAGTTCTCCAGCTAGACTAGACTGCCTGCAAAGACCGCCTTGGGACCAGAGATTTCCAGCGCTTCTCCCACAAAGCTGAGGCCACAAACCTTGAACATCTTGACTCCCATGGAACTCAAAAGTCCGTACCGTCTCTCTCCAGGTCATGGTGAGTAGCCAGGGACAGGAGCTGGAGCCCGG